GGGGGGGGGGGGGGGGGGCGGATAGACATTTTCTGGAACACTAAAAAACAGCACAATATGCAACACAAGAGCACTATCGTCTATCCTTGCGACCCCTGTGATCACTGTACCTATCAGATCTGTCATAAGCTCTATCTCTATCTGCAGCCCTGTAGTCTTGTTTATCAGACCTGTCTCTTCTCTCAATGAAGTATTTATCTCTGTTGCCATGATGCGATGTGCGAGAAGCACCTCTGTCCCTCTGGACTCTGTGCTCATCTTCTGCATGTTGATTACGATTATCCTTACGAGTCCAATTACGTGCTTCAACTGTGTCCTTATCATAAAAGTCATGTCTGTGCCCATGTTTGTGACTGTGATCATCCTTAGAGTTATACTCCATACCTTCCCGTCTCTTATAATTTCTATTATTATCACCATCATGTCCCCGTTCATGCAAAGTTTTACCTTGAGAATCATACTTGTCCCTCTCATGATATGACACCTTTTGATCATACTCTCTATGCCTTTCTCTCTCCATATGTTGTGCCTTACCTGGTTCGCTTCTTGAAGTACCCTTATCTACCAAATCAAGCCGAGGCTTTTTCTCTCCTCCTTCTTCCTCACTTGATCCACTGGTCTCCCGCTTCTTTTTAGATTTTTCTTCTCTATGTTTCTTTTGTTTCTTTGCCTTTTTTTCTTTCTTTCTTTTCTTTGGAAGATCTGCAACCTCTTCATCTTCTTCAGATTGTGGGGGAGAAGGGGAGGGTGTCTTTGGGGCACACCCTACTTCCACAATCTCTTTCCTGTTCCCATGTTCATCTTTCTCATCACTTAATGGCCTCCGGTAGTTAGAACAATGATCCACTCTGATTGTTCTACCACCAAGCTAAATGACACAAAAAGGACAAAATATAATACTTAAAAATGGACTGTAAATTATATAGTACTATTATGAATATGCTATTTACGTCAAAATTAAATTGACAGAGGTTCATAAGGAGGCAGTAAGGGGCACCCAGTGAAAGAATCTTTCCAAGAAAGTCAGAAATGTCTCGAATGTATTTCCCTATGCTTTAGAAGTCAGTTTTGTTAATTTGGAGCTGTCCTAAATCCTGTTTGTCTGTTTGGATGTTTTAGGCTGGAGAACTTTGGCCATCTTGAAAGTTTAAGCTATTCTGATGGGTTTTGTTGAAATTGCAAGGACACGGAGTACCAATATGTTCATTATCACATTTTAGGGTACAATTTTTCTTTATACCAAAATTTTGAGGCAACCTTTTTTTTAAAAATTATCACCTATTCTTGGGAATAAAATGTGCAAAATCTGCTTCCAAAAATCATAGGGAAGTTAATAGCCTGAGAAAACAGCCGACATTTGGCGACGCTACCACTGGTTTCCCTGCCAAATGACGTATTAGAAACAAGCGCAAAAATTCCATACAGATGATGCGTCACTGTCCAGTTTGGGGTTGTGCTTCTGATTGGTTGAATCAAATTTCCCACGAGGCACAACCAATCAAAAGCACTAACCAGATTTGGGTAGTAACGTGTCATCAGTATGGAATTTCTGTGCTCGGTTCTCAGACATCATTTGGTGGGGAAACCAGTGGTAATGTTGCCAAATGTTGACTGCTTTTTCAGGCTAGGGAGTCAACAGTTGTAGGAGACAAAGGAGAAAATAATTAACCTGGGACAAAAAAAATTTCACCTGAATTTAATTTTGACCAAGAACAATAACAAAATTTTAACTAAATTTTGCGTGCTTAAGCTAATCACTGAAGGCATAATAAAAAAGCTTGCTTAGCTCTTCCTCAGCTATGTCCCTGAGTAAAAGGGAGTATCAGTTTCATCTATGTCACTGATGAAGATAAACGTACCAACCTTTATTCCATTAAAATTGTCCACAGCTAGAACAGTGCTACGCTGGTCTTCATAACACAAGAAGCAAAATCCTTTTGTTTTTCCAGTTTTCTTGTCTCTTACAAGATTTATGTTAACAATTTCACCATATCTGTTACAATAAAACAAATATTGATAAATATTATTATCCTGTTGAAATTTCCACAAGAATTTATTAAATTTCAACAGCAGAGTATTAACAAATAAAATGATCATTAATTGTAAAATGTAGCACTTACTGAGAAAAAACACACAAAATGTCACCCTCTGTAAGATCATAGGGAAGTCCACCTAAAATAAAAGCAAGCCTTAAATCTAGACCCTTGTGAAAAAAAGAGACATATTTGAAAAATACGTAATCTGAGCAAATTTTGATTCCCAGCAACAGAAAGGTAGGGTAATTCAGATACCGGTCATATCGATACAAAGTCATTTTGACGGAAGTGATTTTGATACAAGTTTATTCAGCTGAGTGGTAAATAGCACATACTTGGCTTACAGTGTAAAAAACAAAGAATATTGACCCAAAATGTTTTTGTTGTTCATGCACAAACTATACTTGAAGTGATTAAAATTTTTGTGCAACTTCATTGCTTGAGTTCGTATTGAAAGTTACAGGGGGGGGGGGGGGGGGGGCGGATAGACATTTTCTGGAACACTAAAAAACAGCACAATATGCAACACAAGAGCACTATCGTCTATCCTTGCGACCCCTGTGATCACTGTACCTATCAGATCTCTCATAAGCCCTTTCTCTATCTGCAGCCCTGTAGTCTTGTTTATCAGACCCGTCTCTTCTCTCAATGAAGTATTTATCTCTGTTGCCATGATGCGATGTGCGAGAAGCACCTCTGTCCCTCTGGACTCTGTGCTCATCAACTGCTTGTTGATTACGATTATCCTTACGAGTCCAATTACGTGCTTCAACTGTATCCTTATCATAAAAGTCATGTCTGTGCCCACGTTTGTGACTCTGATCATCCTTAGAGTTATACTCCATACCTTCCTTTCTTTTATAATCTCTATTATTATCACCATCATGTCCCCGTTCATGCAAAGTTTTACCTCGAGAATCATACTTGTCCCTGTCATATGACACCTTTTGGTCATACTCTCTACGCCTTTCTCTCTCCATAGGTTGTGCCTTACCTGGTTCGCTTCTTGAAGTACCCTTATCTACCAAATCAAGCCGACGCGTTTTCTCTCCTCCTTCTTCCTCACTTGATCCACTGGTCTCTCGCTTCTTTTTGGATTTTTCTTCTTTATGTTTCTTTTGTTTCTTTGCCTTTTTCTCTTTCTTTCTTTTCTTTGGAAGATCTGCAACCTCTTCATCTTCTTCAGATTGTGGGGGAGATGGGGAGGGTGTCTTTGGGGCACACCCTACTTCCACAATCTCTTTTCGGTTCCCATGTTCATCTTTTTCATCACTTAATGGCCTCCGGTAGTTAGAACAATGATCAACTCTGATTGTTCTACCACCAAGCTAAAAGACACAAAAAGGACAACAGATAACTTAAAAATGGGCCATAAATATAGGACTGGTATGAGTATGTTATTTAGGTCAAAAGTAAATTGAGGTTCATTATTTAAGGAGGTAGTCAGGGGCACCCAGTGAAAGAATCTTTCCAAACAAGTCAGAAATGTCTAGAATGTATTTCTCCAAGCTTTAGAAGTCAGTTTTGTTAATTTAGAGCTGCCCAAAGTTGGATGTTTTAGGTTGGAGAACTTTGGCCATCTTGAAAGTTTTAGCTATCCTGATGGGTCTTGTTGAAACTGTGAGGACACGGAGTACCCATGTTCATTAGCAAATTTTAGGGGACAATTTTCCTTTATACCAAAATTTTCTGGCAACCTTTTTTCACAAATTATCACCTATTCTTGGGAATAAAATGTGAAAAATCTGCTTCCAAAAATCATAGGGAAGTTAATACCCTGAGAAAACAGCCGACATTTGGTGACACTACCACTGGTTTCTCCACCAAATGATGTCTTAGAAATGAGCGCAGAAATTCCATACTGATGATGCCTCACTGCCCATATCGGGGTAGTGCTTCTGATTGGTTGAATCAAATTTCCCACCCGCCACAACCAATCAAAAGCACTGCCCAGATTTAGGTAGTAACGTGTCATCAGTATGGAATTTCTGCACTCGGTTCTCAGACATCATTAATTGGTGGGGAAACCAGTGGTAATCTTGCCAAATGTTGACTGTTTTCTCAGGCTAGGGAGTTAAAAGTTGTAGGAGACAAAGGAGAAAATAATTAACCTGGGATAAAAATAAATTTCACCTGAATTTAATTTTGACCAAGAACAAGAACAAAATTTAAACTAAATTTGCATGCTAAAGCTAATCACTGAAGGCATAATAAAAACCCTTGCTTAGCTCTTCCTCAGCTATGTCCCTGAGTAAAAGGGAGTATCATTTCATTGATGCCACTGATAAATGTACCAACCTTTATTCCATTAAAATTGTCCACAGCTAGAACAGTGCTACGTTGGTCTTCATAACACAAGAAGCAAAATCCTTTTGTTTTTCCGGTTTTCTTGTCTCTTACAAGGTTTATGTTAACAATTTCACCATATCTGTTACAATAAAACAAATATTGATAAATGTTATTATACTGTTGAAATTTCCACAAGAATTTATTAAATTTCAACAGCAGAGTATTAACAAATAAAATGATCATTAATTGTAAAATGCAGCACTTACTGAGAAAAAACACACAAAATGTCACCCTCTGTAAGATCATAGGGAAGTCCACCTAAAATAAAAGCAAACCTTAAATCTAGACCCTTGTGAAAAAAAAGAGACATTATCTGAAAAAACACGTAATCTTAGCAAATTTTGGTTCACAGCAACAGAAAGGTGGGGCAATTCAGATACTGGTCATTTCGATACAAAGTCTTTTCAATGGAAGTGATTTTGATACAAGTTTATTCAGCTGAGTTGTAAATAGCGCATACTTGGCTTACAGTGTAAAAAACAAAGAATATTGACCCAAAATGTTTTTGTTGTTCATGCACAAACTATACTTGAAGTGATTAAAATTTTTGTGCAACTTCATTGCTTGAGTTCGTATTGAAAGTTACAACATTGTATCAAAACAACCGGTTAGTGGACAATTCATAATAATTATTACAAAACCTCTTCAGCAGCCCTTTTTAATGGCACTATTTACCATTATTTTATTCTATATTTCAAACTTTTGGTCTTGTACACAAAATAATATGGTGAGACCATTCATTTTGGGGAGCAAGGGATGGCGCCGTGGTGAGAGCGCTCGCCTCCCACCAATGCGGCCCGAGTTCAAATCCCGGCGTCGTCGCCATATGTGGGTTGAGTTTGTTGTTGTCGTTACTCTCCTTTGCTCCGAGAGGTTTTTCTCTGGGTACTCCGGTTTCCCCCTATCCTCAAAAACCAACATTCCCAAATTCCAATTCGACCAGGAATCAGGTAGACGAAGAACCACTTTGTGGATGTACTACCTCCAAATCATTATTTATTTTATTTTAATCATTAAATGAAACCTAACCTAGACAAAATTAATTTTATCTGGTCGTTGCTTCTCTCCACCGGAAAAACAAATTGACTAGAAATACGTATGTGTTATATTTGACAGCTAGGCTACACTAACAGTACTTTCACATGGTGCTTTTGCCACCATGTGAAATGTGGACGAAATTTGTACCTGTATCATTGTTTTATGGTTAGCTTATTTTTGAAAATAAGCATCCTCTTTTCCTGGGACTAAATGGTTTAATTTATAGAGAGGTACCACTTCAAACCACGAAAATGTGACATCTTTAATGACAGTATATCTCACCTATAAAAATATAAGCACTGTCCTTGTACTGCTTGTGCCAGCTCTCGCTGTCCTCTACCCCCATCTCCAACATCTTTTCATTTAATTTAACAGTATTCTTTACGTTCCTGCAAAATTTATGTGGTTAGAAGAATGATGAAAACTCATGTACAAACAGAAGGAATTTTCTAATTAATATTACTTAGCCACTTATAACTGTGAAACACAAAATTCTTCCTTGCTATCAGAGGTCTCTCTTCCCTTGTATTCCTCCCGCCCGCCGAATGCCAACGAGGAAAAGACAAGAGGCCTCTGCCAGAAGGGAATTGGAAGACGACATCAGTGCCTGAATTTCTGACAGCCATGATGAAATAGAATTTCTAGGATAAGCTTTTATAGTGATGGGCTATTACCAATGTGCGATAAAAGAGCAGCATTCCTTCATAACAAAAGAATACTAGAAGAATGAAATTTAACTCACGTTAAGGGATTCATCTTGCTTGTTACTTTTGGCCCGACACTTGCAGAAGTATAAACCCACTTCCAGCACGAAAAGGTATCTACGTCATAAATGGAGAACGAAAAGTACCGCTTTTATCACCACTGGTCAAAAACATTTTTTATGTGGGCTCAGGTATTTCCAAATAAGGTAAAGATTACCATATAAAGTTTTCGCTCAGTTCTTTTCTGGGAAGAGTTACGTGACAAGACGCGTGACAACGTTGTGCTTCTCTTTTTTTGGAATGAAAACTATGCAAAAAAGAACTTGGATCGGAGGCCACAAGTCGTCAGTTCTCTCTTTAGACGTTAGCAGAGAAGGGATTTTAGCTTCAGGTGGAGAAGAAGAGCTTTGTGTTTGGTCGAAAGATGGGGCACCCCAAACTAAACTTTCCTGCTCCTCGGCCGAGTCGAAAGAGGTCAACTCTGTCTGTTTTTGTGGAAAAAATCCAGAGTGCTTGTATGCCTCGTGTGGAAAAAAAATATTTGGTTATGATTTAAGAAATCTTTCATCTACTGTTTGTGAATTCGAGTTCAACGAAGAGGAAATAAATCAAGTTACCATACACGACAGAGGAACATATCTTGCTGCTTGTGACGATAGTGGCGAGGTCAAAGTGGTTGATATTCAGTCGGGTAGATTATTCAAGACACTTAGGAGAAAGCATGAGAATATTTGTTCAACTGTTCAATTCAGGCCGAGTCGCCCGTGGGAGATTGTGTCTGGAGGAATGGACTTTAAAGTGATTAGTTGGGACTTCTCTTCTGGGAGGTCCCTTCAGGAACTAAATGTTCAGGNAATTTTGAGGGGCCGGGAGAGGAGCGGCAAGGAGGGGGATATTTTGGGAAGCCCCACTTTTTAAATTAATATTATGAGGGGGGAATTGGGGAAAAATTTGTTTCCGGATTAGGGAAAAAAGTTTTATATTGCGGGTCCCAGGGGGGGGGGGGGGGGGTACTTTAGGAATTTCTGAGTGGGGATGTGCTGCAGGGACCCTGGAACCCTTAACCTATACCAGAGCTAGTTCAGCTGAATTGTGCTACCCTATACTAGAGTCAACTGCCCAAATCCCCCCTATCCTAGAGTAGCTGTTTTCCAGAAACTACTGAGGTCTCTAGCACAGTCTAGCCAAAACAAAACCTTATACCACAATCTCTAGTCTAGATAAAATCTTCAACCAACTGATCAGTTTCCTGAAAAATGATAGCCTATTCTAGACCCAAACGCTCTGATTTATATACCCTATCCTAGAGTAAACTGCTTGTAAACCATACACTTCACAGCGGCACATACCTATATAGCCCATATATGGCAGTACCCCTCCCCCACCTGGGTCAGTTTCCACAACAAATGTAAGAGTAGGAACCAAGATGAGCATCTCTGAAAAGGTCATTTGAAGGGGAGTTGTCCTATCACTCCTTAGGCCTTTCACAGACGCCTAATTTCCATAAGATCGTTGAGATCGAGCCTTCACTATCACTGGTAGCCATTTTGTAATTGGTTTCAAATGTATCCAGCTTCCAGGGGGCAGGCATTGGAGATGAGAAAAATATTTTTCTAATATTTCTTGTCTCATTCCAAACTGCCCCCCTACCTCCCCCCCGGTAGATTATCTTGAAGATAGACTCAGGGCTCTTTCCATTTGTCAGAACTGACCAGCCACCCCATTCCCATCATAATGAGAACTTCACTTTTAATAAAAACTAACCAAACAGATCAGTCAAATCCTAAATATTATACCCAAAGGAGATGGTTTTTCAGCAAAAACTATTGGAAAAAAGGCTAATTCATTGCCAAAATATCTGGTCCAGCTATGGTCCGGCCGGCCAGTTCTGACTTTTGGAAAGCGCCCTCAGTCAAGGTGGGAACCTGTAGCACTCATTCCTGCCAATACCACGGGAAAATAGGGGACTGTGAACAGACTCATCACCACTTAGCAGTTGCCCTTCAGTCTTCCAAGAAAACTCTGGATACTCTTCGTGACTTATCATTGTAGGAAGATTGAAGGGTGCGAGGAGGCTCCTCCAACGTCACATCTCTTTCAAGGGGCACTTAACCTGTGATCAGGCGTTTTTTTTCTCCCATACAGAAGGACTCCCTGATCGCGGGTTAGAGGGCACTGAGTGTCACCAAGTTTCAATCACTGCTACTTGAAACCCAGTAGGAAAGTTTTTGTCATATGAAAATTATCTACTTAATGAATGGCCTGGTCTTGTCAAAACTGCTGTTGCCTAAGGATGAGTAGCAAAGAAGTGGAATCAAACTTGAATACATTCATCCTTGCTAATTACCATACATGATTATTGTCAATGATAATTATTTGCTTTGTTTTGGTTGTGTATGAGTTTGCTTCCATAAATGTTTTTCTTTCATTGCTCAAAGGCCTCTTTTGCACATTAGCAACTAAGCAAGTGTATCTTCATGATTTTCAATTATTTTAAATAGTGGTTTGCACAAAAATTTGAGAAAATCCTCATAATACCTTCCCCTTTTGGTAACTGCTTTAAGGATGTTTTCTTAGAGTTATGGGGACTAAAACAATGATTTTTTTCCTCCTTAAGGGAATGGAAACATTCAACTCTTCAGGTTTGAGGGCAAGAAAAAATTCACTCAAGATGAATGCCTTAAGAAACACACTTCTAGTGTGTCACAAGTCCACTTTCCTACATTTCAAGGAAATGACCTGTTGGTTTCTGCTGGTAATGACTGCAGAATCATTCTTTGGAAATTAAATCAAGGTTTGTGCAACGGAACCTCAGGGGCCAAGCATTGTAAAGGATCAGAAGCGGCCAGTTCCACTTGGGTTTCTCATGAGGTTAAGCATGGGTCTAAAACAAACTGGATTGCTTCTTGTTTACTTACAAACAACATATTTGTATCTGATCAAACAAGCGAGATTTCTGTTTACCATGTTATATGACATTATTCAAAGGTGCTGTCTAAGTTATAACTGTCCAGTGGCTAGTAGAATTTTCATGTTATTAGTTTCTTTTCTTTTGCTTTTGGGTACATAGTAATGCAGGATACTGAGTTTGGAATAGACCGTTGTGAGCAGTCTCTGTTTTGCTTGAAAATCTTTGAGCAAGTGCGATATGTGGGTATTTGAGTGGTGAAGCCAGAAGCGCAGTGAGTTGTGCCCATGCCAAATACAGTATGCACACCCACTTAATAAGAACACCTCATTATTACGGACAGTTTGGTTTGCTCCTGTGAAAAGAAAGCCCTTACATTATAACTCTTAATTCAACCCGCTTAATACGAATACAAACCTGCTTACAAGAAGGTAAAATAAAAAGTAGGTTGATCTTGATCGTTGTTGTTGTTGATAGTGACTGACGTTTCGAAAACCTGTGTGGTAGTTGTCTTCAGCTTCCAACATATTATTAGCAACACTTATCCTTAAAGGGGTACTTTTATTCTTGGTTTGCAACCACGTGACATGGTGGCCATGTTGGTGGTCAACACAGCAAACATTATTTCAAAGAATTTACATGAAAATGGAGTCAACTTCCCATAGGATAGAAATGTTTTTGTTGTTAACAACCAACAAGGCTGCCATGACGTCATGTGTAAACCAGCAATTTAAAACATGGTACCCATTTTTTAGCATTCTCACAGGATTATCACATGGACAGTCGCAAATTAAGCATTTTTTTCGAGGAAAAAAACAAACAAATGAGACTTGGACTTGGACTACTTGCATTGTTTGTTTGCCAAGAGAGCAAGTAATTCCTTTAATTTTGATCACATGGTCATTTAATTTTTGCAGTACTAATATTATGTAAGTTCTGCTTTAATGACAGTATGAATGTACAAAGCTGTTTATAATAGTAAAAGTGGCACACCAGGTATTACGTTTGATTAGTCTAAAGATTCACAGTTCTTGAATTCAGTTTCTAGTGATGCTCATTTATGTTAACCCAGCATTTAGGCAGTTTACGTTAAATTTAACTGTACAAGAAAATGTTTAGCCTGCGTGGCAGGCATTTGAAAGGTAAGGAGAAGGGAATCTGGGTGCAAGACCATGCCTATCGCGCTCCTCTATTGCCCGGAATCCCCTTTCCCCTTTCCTTTCAAACGCCTGCCACGCAGGCTAGGAAATGTTGAGTGACAACAAAGGCTTAAAAGACTGGTGTACATTCAATTGAGGGAGATTTGTTTCTTTCTCTCCTTCCTCCTTCATAAAGCCTGATGCTCAAATCAAAATGAAGAGTGCATAATTGTATTAGTGGGAGATGACTCATGGTGTAAGCATAATAATATTCTCCCAATATTTGTAAATCCTGAAATCAAAACTGCCTAATCCCAATTCTGAGTTCATGCCAAGTTAAATACACTTTTATTAATACTGCTTACTCAAATCGTTCTTCTTTGCCAGCTTCAAGGTTCTTTGGGAGTAATGTATAATATGAATCAAAGAAAACTAAGGCTCTTTGTGACTAATTTGAATGCACCCGAGTGATAAGTAGTCACTGGGGTTTTAAGATTAAAAAATGTGACACCACCTTGGACTGTTAAACTCTATCCACCCTAATCTGTTTTAACAACAATTTATATTTTTTAAAAAACCTATAGATAGGTCTTTAGGGCTGTAATTATTTTTTTGGAGCAGGCAAAGCATAATAATCATGTTCCTTGTGCCTATCCCCTTTGAAATAGCTGACTGGGCTACCTTACAGATTAGAGTGCACTCTAGTTAAAAATCTTTTCTCTTATAAGAACCTGAAGGCAGGTTCTTGTGCTGTAATTTATGTTCTTTTTTTTGTTTCCATCCTTGCGAGTTGCAAGCCTTTGATGGAATTGACACAAAACTGCACACCGGATAGCCAAGAGAGAAGCAGGAAACCGGGACACAAGAACCCACTCACTGGCTTCTTATAGCACTGCTAATTAGTATTCTACATGGTAGAAACCCGTTCTTGTGATATAAGATGCCTATAACAACAAAATAACAAAAAAACCTACAAATTTCTCTCACATTTGGTTGTCAAATTGAACCAATGGAGGCTGTTAAAAAACTATTTCATTTTCTTTGGTTTTACAACTTGCCACCTCCTCCACGAATAAACAGACTATTGTTGACTGGGAACAATGACTTTAAACTTTTTTTGTTTAGTTTTCTTTTGGAAAAATCTGTACGTACATGTCTGGAACTAGTCCATAACTAAACTACAAATTTTGATGCACCGCAGCTTCTTTGTATCATCATATCATCTCAGACTGATCTTTGTTGAAAAGTATTTTAAAGGCCTCACACTAACCAAGAAAATGTGGTCGACGTTGCATATGGCTGGCCAGTAATGTACAAATGTCCAACTGTTTTCACCGACCAAAAGCAGACACAGCAAAGACTTGGGGCTTTACCTTTTCATCCACGTTCTCACACATACATATACACTGTACACTTCTAAAATTCTAAGAAGTTGCATCGGCATAAAAATCAGTGGTGTGAATTGGGTTCATCCGTATCCATAAATCCATCCTGTGACATATCGTAAGAGACATCAGAAGCTGGAGAGGATGGAAAAGAGTAAGGAGATGTTGTTCGGTGTGAGGGACCACTGTCACTTGCCATAGATGATGTCCTTGATGTTCGATTCTGTGTCCTCGAGTTGTTTACCACGGTGACAGGAGAGGTGCCCCTCCCTTGAGCCAGCGGCATGGCAAGTGGTGATGAGGGAGTGTTTGTAGGAGGGAGAGGAGACATGCGGGCAGTAGCAGAGACGAGAGGTGAAGCTGAAGATGCTGATTTACTGTGAAGAAAATCATTTTAAACCAGGGTTTTGATTTTTACAAGATAACAGAAATTGATTTGAATTATTTGCAGTTACTACAAAAACTGGACATCATGAAAACTTAGTATAAGGAAGGGCCAAGGGACTGAAAAGAATTACGTTTGTTATATTGAGGTTCTTTCTACATTATTCCTGTACTGGATATTATTTGTTTGTTTTACCAAGGACTTTGTTAAAAGGAGATTCATTATATCAAAGTTTGACCGTAGTAACTTAACTTACTTAGGAGTTGTATGATTGCCAAGTACACCAGTGAGTCCAACTGGACCTGACTTTGCCATGTCTAGAAAAAACGAAAAAAAGTTTGAGCAAAGAGCCTTTTATTTCTATCTCAATAATATATACACTACATACTAGTAAAAACTGAAGGTTAGGGGGTGCAGGCGACAATGATTGGAAGTCAACATGCTTTTGCCCCATTAATTATGCTGTGCTTTGCGCAAGTTTCAAACCAGGCATGATCGCATTACAAGCGACAAAAAGTCCAAACACATGTGAGATCAGATTGTGTTCTGGCTACATACATGCTGTGTGCATAATAGCAACCTGGGGCCGCTTGCTCGAAGCCTGGTTAGCGCTAACTGTTGGTTAAGAGGTATCAAAATGTATAGGTTTCCATGGTATTTAATGCTGGTTAGCAGTAACCATACTTCGAGCAACCCAGGCCTGGAGAATAGGCACAAAAAACTTGAGGTGGAAACTGCCAGCCATCCCCTTTAAGGGCTCCATTTAAACTAGCTCTGCTAATATAAATTGGATGCCCCTGGATTAAAAATATTGATTAAGGCGGCTCAGTTTGATTAAACACATTAAACAGGTAACTTCAATGCATACCTATGACATAAGGTTCAAGTGCTTTAGGAACCATTGTTCTTGAAGATTTGAGATCGGATTCTGTGCACTGTCCTTTCTCCAGACCAAATGCCATACCCATTCTTTTCAATACTTCAATGTCATCATGGATTTCAAAGGTGTTGTCAAAATTAAAAAGATATTCAGATCTGCAAAAAACACAAAAATCAGTTATGAGGTGAGGCTATCCTGCAGCTATCGGTAACAATATTATGAATTTAAATAAATACTATTATCCTTGAATAATATTTTCATTTTTCCTTGTTCAAAACTCATCATTATATTATCATACTATAACGGGAGAAAAGCAAAATTTGTTATCAGTGATCAAAAGTACATCACATCTTCAGTAAGATCATCAACATAACCATTATTTTACTAGCATCCTTCAACATCACTATCCTCCTCTTGCTCGTCCTCCTTCTCATCATCGTCATCATCATCATCATCATCATCATCATCATCATCATCACCACCACCACCACCATCATTATCATCATCATCATCATCATCATCATCACCACCACCACCACCACCACTACCACCACCACCATCATCATCATCATCATCATCATCATCATCATCATGAAAATGATAATCATAATTATCATATTCAACAAGAACTGGATATCCAGTAGTTTTGTGTTAATTTGAGGAAGCAAAACAGGACTTACTTGTCATTAGATATACTACAGTCAATGACAGTTTTCTTGCTTGTGTTTACGATGATAAATGGTAGATGAATAGCTGTGTTTGGAGCAGGAGATCCCTGCTCCTTTTCAACTTGCTTGTTCCTTTGGACAAGATTCTTGAAAGCAATTTGCTGAAACAAAAGGAAGCAATAGTTACAACTGAAGTTATTGACAAAAACTTAATCTTCAGTTATGCTAAAGGAGAGGAATAATCAAATTGCAATCCTAGTAAGTGGGTCTGTGAAATCCTGCACAAAAAATCAAAATAATGAACCCTTGTTATAAGCAGCACTTTCTTATCATACTGTTTGTTATGCAGTGTAAGTTGAGCCTAGCCATGACAAGTTAGCCAAACAGGATCCCCACATGGAGTGGGACAAAAACAAAAATTGGCAAGAAAGGTGTGCTGTGCATGGCCTGAAGGAGACAAAAAGGCTGGAGAGCCTGTAGACTTTCTTAGATGCGGTCCATCCATGATACCGGATTCCAGTATCATGATCTGATTGTTCAGATCGCTGACTGTTGACAAGTGATAAATACCGATGAAAAATACTTACACAGGGCTGTCACTAAGAGCCGGGGGCCAGGGATTTTCCCTGGATACTAGGAACGTGAGCCCTGGCTACTCTTATAGGAAACAAAAGAAAAATAGAACCAAAAGAATTTCCTTGCTGTACAATTCACCTCCTACTAATTGCAGATACCCAGCAAATTGAAATTTTAGCCACAACCGTGCTGACACATGCATGCAAATGTTATTGAGGCTGATGCTTTCAAGCACAAACAACATTAGAATCTCTCACGTCAAATTACCTTAATGACATGTGTTATTGACATGTGTGTTACAAAATAATTGGAAGTGGGTAGATGGGTGGCATCAAAAGAAAGTCTACAGGTTCCCCCGCCTTTTTTCCCCAAGGCCACGCTCAGCTGTCGCTGCTTGACCACTTTTTTTTCTGCCCTACTCCACCTTGAAAGCCTGTTCGCAGGCTACTGACAAGTGTGAACATTTGAACTTAAGTTAGCCCAACATATAATGCCATCTATCCAATTATCATGTTTCTATTTTGAAAAAAAATTAATAAGGTAATGTCTTACTTGAAGAATCAGTTCTTGCAACTCAGCAGTCTTTTGTCTTATTCTCTCTTCCCTTTCTTTTTTCTCCTCCTAAAAGTGGTAAAACACAGCACTATAAAGGACTGAAAGGTACAGTGTACAGTAAAATCAGGTGGATGTAGAGCTGCGAATATCACTCGGTCAAGCCACAGTTTTTTTTTGTTAGTTGAGTTTATAGTCTTTCAACTTTAATAAATATTCATTCCTTATCCTGGTTGTCTAGTTCTAAGACCTTGAAATGTTGCAGGTACCCACCACTGCAAAAGTAGGGCAGCCACATTCAATATTTCAAACCTTTCAAGAAATTTGTTACAAAGTGTCCTTTTTTCTGGCCATCAATATGTTACAGTGCTACTGGGAAACTGTGAACACTTGAAATATTTCAAGAATGTTTATTGTGTTAAGACCAATCACAACAAAGATCAGGACATGCGAGCAAACCACAAAACCACAACTAATTGATTTTCTTCCTTACAGTTTAGTTTTCTCACACCTGATTGGCTTTTTTCTTGCAACACAACAACATTCCAGAACTATTTCTGGTGTTCACAGTTTTTCTGGTTTGACTGTAAGTTTGGTGACCATTTTATAATTTTGGGTCACTAAAAGGCGACTTTTAAATAACTTAAGCTTGACCCTAATTATCGACCTATTTTACCCACCTCTAATTGTTGACATTCCTGTGCTGAGTTTGTAGGTAGCCCCACCCACTTGATCTCTTTCTTTTCTTTTGAAATGATGTTCATTGCCATTAGAACATTCAGAGCATCATATACTCTTCTTCTGATATTCTTCTGGTCATAAGCCTAGCAAAAATACAAATGAAACACATAGTTGATGAAAAAGATGTTGAAAGCAGTGAATAGCCATGGGATAACCTGCAATAAAAAACCTTCATAACGTAATGCGGACAGGAGTTAACCACAGTCCATCAAAAAATCACACAACAATATTTTTTTTTTTTAAAAACTATAGGGTGCACTGTTTTGGAACTATTTTTTCACTCTTTTTCTGATTCAGAAAAAATTCGTTAAAACACAGGGAACCCTAGAATATTTAATCAGTGAAAGAATGTAACGTCAGACAGGTTTGTTTGATACCACTTCTCAAAGTTGAATATTTTGCGAAAAGCCTTGCCTGACCATGTGTCATGTCCTTTAATAATGAGCTTATGTTTGATCTTCAACAGATCTCAACTATAAGTTGGAACCTGCTTTTGGCCAAAGAAGATGCTTGGCTTACTGCTAAAAAACTATGCTAGCTTTCCAGTAGAATGTATTCTGTGATACCAAACTAGCCTACTTTGACAATTTCGCGAATTCAGTTCTTTACGAACTGACCACCCAAAAACAAAAATTGAAACAAAAAGAAAGCAAAAATGAATTACCATTATCAGCTTGCAAAGAAAGGGGTTTCTGATAGCCTGGGGCTAGTAGATTTTGCTATCAGACAAGTGAATCTGGTTCTTAACTTGCCTGACAAGCAGGTGACAGTTTTTAGGGAAGTTAAATTACAGAAGAACTGTAATCAATCCTTCTTGTCAAAATATTTTACCTGGCTTGTTAGAATGACTCTTGGGATAGTACATGCTAGCTACAGCTTGCCTGAAATGGCAAGCTGTAAAACTGACTTTCTTTGCACCCTGCACTATGATTAAAACACTTTACAGACACTATAATAACAACATGAGGAGGAACAAGTACCTGATCGGTAGGTGAGAGATGCTTGTCAGGATCACTAAATTCTTGTACTAGCTCATCTGCAACCTAACGGGAAAAAAATTACTTAGGAACAAGCTATAATTATATATTAACATTACTTAAAGAAAACATTAATTATAACAGAGAGCATGGGCCATCTAACCTATCACAAGTGGGATCTCATCAAGGGCACTTGCAGCAATTACATGAATTTGTAGCAGCTGAAGAGAGTGAGAGCTTGACAGACAGACTTCAAACAGTTAACCCTGTGTTATACATGTACATCTGTCACCTTCTTTGGAGTCAAAGACCTGAGATTTTTATTCTGAGAGCATCCAGGATTTTTCAAAGGGACACTATCAGATACAAAGAGGTACAAAGACTTCCAAAGAGGTCTGAATGTCCCAGTTCCAGGGCTTTTCCCTCTAAAATCTCTAAAATAAGAGATTTCAGGGAAAGTACAGTGGCAGATCCCAACCACTCAAGGGAAGTGGGGGGAGGGGGGGGTATGCTGTCTCTCATAATTTTCTAATACTGTTTACTGCTCTGTAGGTTAGGAAAAATGTCACTGTTGCAAATGTCGCTGTTGGTTCAGAATAAATTTCTGTGATACCAATTTTTGAATTTACGGCAGATAGCACCTGGAAAGAATATTACTAAGTATTTTTATCAACTTTTCTCCTTAGTGGGATAGATTTTCAATAAAACCAACATTAGAAAATGATTCACAGAAAATAAGTGCCAAAAGAGCCGAAATATAAAAGATGTTAGATGTCACTTTCACCATTTAAAAAATAAATTGTTGCTGACAGAATTCATTTCTCCTTTTCTGTTGATTGCTGGTGCTTTCTCAGAAGACTGTCACCAGTTTTCGGGGCGGTTGTCGGTTGTTGCTTCCACCCCATGGAAGGTCTCTCCTGGAACATCGCCTGGGTGAAGGTCCCTTCCACAGAGTTAATACCTAATACAAAGGTTATACAGGGGAGCCCTCGCTCAGGGGAACATAAGTGAAAATGTATGGACTTTTTAGATGTCTTTTGCTTGTACCTCATTGTATGATGTTGTTCTCTTCTGCTGAACTTTCTCGCAAACTTTCATTGAGAAGTGTCTCAGACCTTTTTCACTTTTATCTTTGTCACCTGGCCCAACTGAACGGCCAGCATTCGGTAGACGTTTGCCCTTTTTCCTGCAGAAAACAGACAAAGCAATTTTGGTGGAGCAATCCTTCATGAGGTACAAAAAAAAACTAAACAAACAAGATGGACACACAATATCTTCTAAACAAACAATACGGAATGGAACAGAATGGAATGTCGAATGGGATAGAATGTTGTGGATTAGAGGACAAGATGTGCCCTCTTTAAATTAGATATTAACAGTATGCTCAGACGTCAGCATACAAGGGAGCCACTGGCAGCTGCTATCAGTTCATTTATAAGCTCACAGAAACTCACTGATAGCCCATGATATGAATGATGTGTGAAAGGTAGACCACATCCCCGGGGAAACTTGCCCTACTCTTTTCAAACAATAGTGTGGCCCTTTTACGCCTCCTTTGATTTCATCAACAAGCGAAAAATGAAGGAGACAAGGCCAATGGCTTGATGTCAAAGCCCTATCATGCAATCATATGAATTGAGAAATCTCAAATCTCAGACAGCATGATCTCACCAGTTTTTTAAAGACCCTGGTTGTTGATCTGGCTGGGATTTGAGCCCACGAATTCCTGCTTAGCAGACCAGTACTCTCACAACTGAGCTAACCAGGCGGCGTTCATGTATATGTCACCTACAGTTTCACCAACAGTTACTTCCATGACATTAGCAAATCTGTGTTTAAATGAAGTTCATGATAGGGTATTTTACCTGTCTCCGCTATCTAGAATGTTGTCACTTTCCATCAAATCAAGCCTTCTTTTCTTTCCACTGCTAGGTGTTACTCTAAGATGTAAAAAGCGAGATTGCCATGAGCTGGGCACATCCAAGTTGACTTTAAAACTTGACATATCACATTTTGTAACTGTCAAACTCCAAAAAAAACCGTTGAAATATTTTGGGACTGTATGACAGCCAGTCCAATTGAAGATCTCATAGCTATAGCCTGCGCCAAAGCAACCCAAAGAGCTTGCTCGCAGGTTAAAGATCTCACTGTTTGACATATTTGCTTGTTGTTTAATTATGGAAAAATTTGTAGCATTCTTGGTTTTCTTATTTTTTAATGGAAAACCCCTTTTTAGATTTGTAATTCAACAGCAACCTTAAATCTTCACAGTTACAACTGCAATGTTTTCATTGCAATTCAGTGCCTAATGTATATGTTGTAGTTAATTTTTTATCTCAGGTAATTTTTATTTTTCCTTTGTTTCAACTTCATTAGCATACATTACCATACCCAAAGACAAAAGAAAAACAAAAATTACCTGAGATAAAAAATTAACTACAACATATATAAAGAGAGGTCAAGATCAGACAAGATGATATGTACCTTAGTTCTCAATTTTTCTTTCAATAAGAGACATATAATTATGAAAATGAAGGAGAGCAGTTTGAAAGTTATTGTCAAGGAAAATTTTGGAATGGTTAAAATTTTTAACATAGCAATATGTATTTGCAGACATAATTCTCCCACATTTACCTAGGCCAAGAGCTTGTGTTAGCTGGAACAATTGGAGCTGCAATCATTGTTGGAGTTCTTGGGCTTCCACCAACAGCAATTACCTGGTGTGTGTTAGGTGAACCAATGACCTACCAAACCAAACAAACAACAAAGTCAATAATTACTCATTAAGGGTTATTTTTAAGCCCAGCTTCCTTAAGTGATGTAAGCATTGCACAGGCACTACCATTAGAAGTTTTGAATTAAGTAAAAACAAACACTAATGCAAATACAAGGCCAAGTACGAAAGCAATATAATAGAACAAGGAACTTTAGGAAGGCCAACATCATTTTACTCCTTCCATTTTTGCAAGCATCTATAATATGGTGCTTGAAAAGTGAGATGAGAACTCATAGCTCCTACAGTCCCACTTGTGTTGTGTTACTGTTGAAACCCAGACATCAAAAGATAGGCAAAAAGGAATTTCAGGGATTTTTTATATCTCTTACTGGTACCACAGACAACATAACAAGCAGCTGAAATAACTCTACTATCACTTTTCAAGAAATCAATTTTGCATGCCCTTTTTCTTGGACTATGTAAATAAGAAGTATTTTTTCTATCAGACAAAAGTCAGGAAAGAAAAAAAAAGTCTGACTAGGTAATAATTAACTGAGCTGCAGAAATCCCCTACAATGCATGATGAACAGTTAATTAAGATTCACCGCGTTGAAAGTACTAACTTCAAGTACTTTTCAAGAGCAATGAAAGAATTTAAGTTCTTTGAAAGGTTTATAGAGATTTGAGGAATTTCAAGGACTTTATTACTAAAACTGCCTATTTTAGCTGATCCCAGTGAAAGCTGAATAACAAAACATTATGATTCTTGATGTGATATCCTTTGTCAAATCATCTCTAGCCTTACCATGGGTGATGCTGCAGAATTCACAGTTTTGGGTAAAATAACAGGTGACATTTTGGCAGTTGTAACAGGCAAAACAGTAGGACTGCTCACTATTTTTGGCTGATCAGCTGTTAAAAAAAACACACACACATACAGATATGCAAGTTAATGATCTCATAGCCTTAACTAACAAAATATTATTATAAATTATTTACCCATCTTCTCATTGATTGAGAGCCAACAGTTACTTTTGAAAAACAGCACAACTTACAGATTAGTTAGTTATCTGCTCGCAGAGAACAGACTAAGCTGTAGGTTGGGACTGCAATGCATGATTTCCAAAAGCGACGGGTGTTTTTGTTGTTATGTTCTTCAAAACAATGTATAATAAAACATTAATTATGATTAGATTTGGTTTTTGTGATATCTGGTCTAATTAAGGTCTCAGAAAGAGTGATCAGTCTACAGAGATCTTGATTATTATGGATATCACAAAAACCTTATGCAATAAACACGTTGATCACGTTTGGACTTCATGCTTGTAATATTAGTACCAATGATGTCAACCATACAGAAAATCAATGGGGTTTCTGTATGATTTGAAAATTATGCAGTTCTTGGAGGGTGTCACCTGCTAAGGCCAATAATACACCCTCCTCAAACCGCATAATTCTCCAGATCATACTTAACCTTATCCTATAACTGCTAAAGATGATAAAACTAGGAGAGCTGTGATTAAGGATGAATTTCTTATGAAAAACTATATACCAGATTCTTTAACCTGAACACAGATTTTGTATTTCTTAACTGAATTAGGTTTTTATCCTAAGTTCAGAACTTCTTAGACGTGGGGTTTTCTGAAACAGTACTGAAGACAAAACGGTTATCGAGTTCTTGCCTCTATCATGGAATACTTTTCAACGTTCTAGTGGACTATGTGTTCAACTATGGCATAGTCCCTCAAAAATAATAAGTAAAATAGAGTCTAAATGGCTAGCCTCAGAAAACAGCTGACATTTGACAACACTATCACTGGTTTACCCGCCAAATGACGCCAGAGAAACAAGCGTAGAAATCCCATACGGATGTTGCATCACTACCCAGATCTGGGTAGTACTTTTGTTTGGATGTGCCGCACGGAAAATTTGATTCAAACAATCAGAAGCACTACGAAGATCTGGGTAGTGATGCGTCATCAGTATGGAATTTCTGCGTTTGTTTTTGATTTCTTAGACATCATTTGGTACGGAAACCAGTGGTAGGGTCGCCAAATGTTGGCTGTTTTCTCAGGCTACTGAATGGCTAAGTGCAATAGTCATTTACGATCAGCTCTTAAAACAAACACTGAAATCTCACACCCTTTATTATTTGTATTAATGCAACTTTAATGCAAACTCAAGGCGGGCAAATCAAATTTCACTTGTTAGATGAAGGTGAGCCCTGATGTCACTTCAATATCATAAAAACCAGTTATTTAACTTTTCTCAAAAATTTTAGTCATGATGCCTGAGCACTGAAAAGGAGCATTGAAGCATCAACCAATCAATCACTTCTTGCAAATAAAATAATTAGTACAAATTTAACTCTTAATATTATTCATTCTCATATAACACTTTGTTTACCTTCTATGTACTGTATGTCTATTTCCCAAGAGAGAAAAACAAGGTTGAAAATCAAAGTCTTAAGAACTACAAGCCAATTAATATGCACAACCGAGTTAAAGAAATTAATAGCTCAAAAATTAACATCTTAATACATAATCAATAAAAATGATGCAAGGAAAAATCATTGAAAATGCACGATATAAACATCAACAAGATTGCAGAATTATCGTTTCGATCTCAGGAAACTGTACACAGCAAAGGCAAGTTGATGCTACACACACGTCAAAGAAGATAGATTTAACTAAGCTAAATCGAATCCAAGTAAACAAAGTGAAAGCAATTCTTACTATTGACTTTAGTAGGAAGAGACGTGTCTTTTAGTCCATCTATAGTCCCATTGTTGTCTATGACGCCGACCTGTTGGTCAAAATATAGGAAGAGGACGAGAAAAGCTTTAGTTCAGTAGTTAAGGACATAGTTCATTCCCTGTGGAGATTAAGGGGGCCGTTGGATGCAGGTAGTTGAATTCAATCGAAGTCATATTGAATAAGCCTGAATGAGCTCACATGCAATCGGGGACACAGACGGCCAAAACGAAATGATAATCACAATAAGTCGCATCTGAAGCTTCGATGAGCTCTGAGAAGTATTATCATGAATTATGAATCGTGATGCTAGAAGCCAATGAGGGTAAATTCAAAGTATGCTTTATACTGCTCACCCATCGGATGAAGAAAGAGATGATTCGTCGCGGGGGAAGCACGAGGAGATTCAAGCTTACGTACCTCTCGAGCCAGGGGTTCTAGCCCAGTATCTTTGTAAAACTTTATAAAGTCTTCCTGAACCATAGACGCGTCCCGATTCAAAGCCCCTTTTACCGGAGTAGACGGGTTACTCTTAACAGGGCTTGGTTGACCTACAAGAGAAATTTGAATAATCAGCAGCTTTCATTTGTAAATTGAATTGTGATAAAAGCAAGCGTGTGATGTCCATACGCATGAAAGCAAAACAGATTCTTCTTTTCCTTTATCCGCAGGCCGGCTGGTAGTAACCAAACCCGTGCCGCAAAATTGTCTCGTGCGCTACAAAAAATAAATATACCTCTTGAAATAAAGAAGGAAGGCGAGGTACTAGAGTTCACATATTAACACACCAACTTGCCTAAAAGCGACCTAACACGTGTGTACAAAAGGGAAAACGCATGATACCAACCTTCGATCCACAAGCTTGTAAGTGTGGCTGTAGGATTCGACATCGGTGTAATCTAAAGTGAAGTTAATGCTCTCACTTTAGGGTGAACCGATCGCATGAGTGAATCGTGTACCAAAGTTTGCGCACAGCCTCAACGGTACGAATGCGAAACAAACTTGCCAGAATCGCCTTCAAGAACTAGCTCTGATTTTCAAGCGATCGCTATCAAAGTGTTTGGAAATGATTGTTTTACTGCAAGATCGTCCCCTGAGGCATATTTGAGGGTCAAGATGGAAGAAATTAGAGTAAACTTTTTCAATTCTCCGCTTGAGAGGACATGTTTTTGCACCGACTTCAGACCCCTGACAAACGATCTTCGCGGTGGGGTTTAATTTTGCGTTTTGATTGGCCAATAATTAACCACGTGGCTAATAGTAACGCACTGCGCAAATGCAACATTCCTTGCATTTCTTTGCTGCCTCGTTCGCGGGAAAATCGAGAAGCTTTATGATTGGTCGAACAGGTTGTGGAGGGAAAACTACTCTGAAATCCACATATTTCTTCGAAAAATCTCGCGATTCCGGGCTAAGTTCATTCAAAGATAAGTGCATTCCTTTATTCTCCTACGTCAAATGGGTAGTACCATTTTAATCTAGTCAAAAAGTGCATTCAACAAAAAAAAAAATGAATTACTTAATTGAATATATCTAACATATCAAATTTTATATCCTTATTTCTAAGCAGCCAATTTTACCAGTACAGATCAGTACAATGATTCAAGTTAAAATACCCTCTCGGTTCTCAAAAGTTTGTTTTGTCTGTGACAAGGTTTTTGTTTAAAAAAAAAAAAGTATTGATAACTGTATAAAATAAATAACCTGTATTTTTAATGAGTGACAATTGAAGCTAATTGTTGGCGAGAATTCCTACACCGTGAATCTACATTTAAACAGAGAAAAACCGTTCTTTTCTTAATGGGTATAAAGATAAAATCTCTTTCACTTTCACCCAGTTAATTTATGAAATTTTTGACTTCACACATGAGTAGATTCTCCATTTCATTAAAAAGTTTATTTTGTGAATACACAATAGTTGTTGTTATTAAATACACCTTTTAGCTATCAGTGCGGTACAAACGCACATAAGAGACCGACTCAATTTTCTTTATACCCCTCAAGATCCTTGAAGTCTTCTGACCGCAAAAAAAAACACAGTAAGCAACGACACTATCGTCAAAAGAAAAGCAAGTACTTATCTCATGTATTGATGTTTGGTTGGAAGAATTTGTCATTCTGAACAAAACAGATGTTCGATCCATAAACATATTTATTGTGATGGAAATTTTCTAAAGGTTTTCCAGTTGTGCTCACTGTCTGTCACGGATCTTTCGATAACTTTTTGACTCAAACAGAAAAAAGTGAAAATTTATATGTGCGGAAAAAGTCTGCAGAAATATCGTTGTACTGTGGATAAGCCGCCATTTTAAGAGATCAATTACGACAAGCAAGGCCTTTCTTTCGTCAACATAAATGGCCATCAATCAGAAACTAAAATCTAACTGGAAAGGTAGCTTAATGAAAATATTACAAGTGGAAAAATAAGATATGGAAAAGTACTGGAGTGGAACATTGCACTAAAGATGATGAAAATTCTTGAAGTAGAACAATGGAAACAAAGAAAAAATTTGGAAGTGGAAAAACTGCGAAAAGATGAAAATTTCTGGAGTGGAACAAGAGCGTAAGTAAAATGTTACAAAGGGAAAACTGGAATTATAAAGATTTTTAGGGCGGGACAATGTAGCAATGGGTACTTTTGGCGAGAAATGTTGTGTTTTGACTGGTCATTCACATGGATAAAAGTTTCAAGCGAGGCACATTTAGCATTACTACAAACGAACAGACTTTAGAAGGTATGAAAATTGCGCTAGGGTATGGAGTAGCTACGAATGGCTCGCCGCAACCCTCGTAAAGGGTCGACGGACACGCGAGTAGTTCGCCCGTGACCTAAGACCCGCGATTCCAGGAAGCTTCTTATAGCAGGCTAAGGAAAAGAGAGAAGTCTCGCGGAAAAACTTTCCTCCCGGATCAGGGAGAGAGACATCAAAATGGTTCGGAATGGAATAACTAGTGATTATAGACAACAGGAACTGCGCAATGGAAAACTGAAGGAAGAAAGAAATTCTTATTTGAGACGAACCATTTACGATAACAAAACGAACGAAAACGAACCATTTATGACAACGCAATTCCCTTTCTTGACACAATGGTCATAAAAAATTCAGAAGGACGCCTCACTACAAGTGTTTACAGAAAACCTACGCACACTGATCAGTACCTGTCTTATGACTAACACCACCCTCAATCAGTTAAACGCGGTGTTGTCAACTGCTTGCACAATCAATAAAAAAAAAATCATCACTAAACCACCGGCTACCTCTGAGGGAAAAGAAGCATTTAACTTCTGTCCTTGTCTCAAACGGATACCCCTATTCGTTTGTAACTAACACCACAAAATCCAAGATGCGGCAGGCATCTGACAAAGAACCCGCAACCAAACTTAAATCTACAGCGGCTCTGCCATACATCAAAGGTTTATCTGAACCACTTCGTCGTTGCCTACAACAGCATGGCGTACGACCTGCTTTCAAATCCGATACAACACTAAGATCGCACTTAGTGCGACCAAAGGGTCCTGTGGACCCACGAAAATAAGATGGAGTAGTGTATAAGATTTCTTGTGAATGAGGCAAAGTATACATTGGCGAAATCGGAAGGTGCATGCATGAACTGATTAAGGAGGACGAGAGGAATACACGGCTTTCGCGAACTCTAACTTCGGCCGTTTCTGAACACGCCAATAAGACCAGGGTTATCCGCTATGGGACGAAGTTAAGTTTATTGACCGAAACCATCACTGGTACTCTCGAAGAGTTAAGGAGGCTATCCACATAAGACTTCAACCTAACAACGTCAACAGGGACAGTGGAATTGAGATTCCTGAAGCGTGGATGCCTACAATTCGATACAATCAAACAACATGACAACCAACCTCTACCACAGCGGACCACCGAGGGATCAGTTTCTTCCTCTCACAATACCAATAATGCTTTGGATAGACACCCACCAACCATGAGCGAGGTTTGTGATACACCAATTACTAACAACCATGATGGTACAAATAGTTCGACACTATCGCTTGATGAAGACATGCAGTGTGCGGTCGAAACGTCGCGATCGATATTAAAGTTACAATCATGAGACAAACGATAAAACTATAACCTGGAATGCGTGACGAACGAACCCCAAAGGATGTCTGCGGGGAGGCTAACGTTATCCACGATGATTAATATCTTTCATGGCATTTAAAAAAATATTGGGCCCCATGTACACCAGTAAGTCTACTTTAACAAGAGAAAATATTTAGTTCACTGTCAAGGAAAACCATTGCTCGTGCAGGATTCTGGGAAGCCACCTACCTACCCCTCCCCTTAGCCAACGAAAACACTCAATTCTCACTTAGAGCAAAATGTTGGGTTAGGACAGGGGTGGATGGGCAGTTTCCCAGACTATTATACCGTTCTCTCGCTTAGAGCAAAAGGTTGGGCTAGGGGAGGGGTTGGTGGGTATAGCCTTATAGTGATGTGATGATAGTATCCATAGCGATACCCTCGTAGCCGGCGGGAACAGCGGGCGAGTGCTGTTGTTTTTAGCCGGCAGAGCCGCGAGTAGATTGAGACCAAGTTAAATGTCCTTCGACGCCAAGAAAGTACCCCCGCGCATAACAATCTTTCCGGCTAAGTAGGCTACCATAGTGAAAAAATAACTAATTAACTGACAGACTGACTGACTAACTGACTATAACTAACTAACTAAATATATATATAAAGAAAGAAAGAAAGTTTTCCCGTTGACTTTCTTGTTGAAGAAACCTTGCTCTTGCATGTACTGCGGTTTTAAAAGATGGATAACAACAACCCAGAAAGATAACACCTCGTCCATCTGAGACAGTGAACAACTCTGGATTTGACTTGAGCAACTGTCAGAAGACATTTCGAAGTAAAAATTGGTAACACCAAAATTCATTCTTTATTTAAAAAAGTAAATAATAAATAAGTGATACACAAAGCAAACGTAAGCTTAAAAAAGTTTTGTTATTCTCCAGGTCAGACATACTGGGCTGAAATATAGTCTCACTGCTACACGGCCGTTTTAAGAGTCCTCCCCAGAGGAGCGTTGCGTGACGACACTAAAAACGGCTGTGTAGCAGACTAGCTGAAATACAGATATTTCACTGACGTTGTCACCTAAAAGATTCAAGCCTTCGCAAGAAGGCCCCAAGGTAGTGGAGATTTTAACACTTTTTTGTGAAAAAGAAAGAAAACAAGTACGAAGGCGAACAAATATTGCGTGGTGGGATTTTTTCTTTCTTTACTAAAACATTGCTACAATTGCAAAAATATGGACTAAATCAGGAGCCCACAATCCCGGGCTACTGACAGCACTGAGCCCCCGGGGAGGGTACTCCCATACATTACCTATACGGTTATGTGCCGCCCAACGGGGTCGTGATTTTGAAGCTCCTGATTTAGAACGGGGTATCCATTTCAGAGGCGTTTTCTAGAACGGGGTATGATATTTCGAACGAACGAAAGCTCCAGTTATGTAAGCAGCCATTTGAAATTTTTCAAGGACGGATTGCTTTCAAAAATACGGTTCAATAACAAGCAAACTGTTGTACTCTTGTTGTACCCTGTGTTTTAGCGTGCAGGGCAGGCGCGTTTTGGCGTGAGCCGCGAGCGCTGACTCCGCCATCTTGGATTATGAAGAAACACCTATTTGATGTATAAGTCGAACAAATAAAGAAATATCTTTTAAAAAACAGGGCTATTTCAATTTATAAACATTTGGAAGTGGAAAAACTGCGAAAAGATGAAAATTTCTGGAGTGGAACAAGAGCGTAAGTAAAATGTTACAAAGGGAAAACTGGAATTATAAAGATTTTTAGGGCGGGACAATGTAGCAATGGGTACTTTTGGCGAGAAATGTTGTGTTTTGACTGGTCATTCACATGGATAAAAGTTTCAAGCGAGGCACATTTAGCATTACTACAAACGAACAGACTTTAGAAGGTATGAAAATTGCGCTAGGGTATGGAGTAGCTACG